CATAAAACGTACCCTCACCATAATTGTAAACCATGCCATAAATAGTAGTCTTCATACGCGTATTACAAATCCTTCTATTATTATACATGACCATATTTTGTTTACTAAGACATACTCTTAACTTCTGAGCCGTTAATAACTCGTAAACTTTGATTGGTCATTGACATTATATTTGTAAAGTAATAAATTTTCTAACCTTAGATTTTTTATTTTTATTAATTTTTTTAGGTGAAAATTTGGGTTGGGAGGGCGGGCCTGTCATATAGCATGTTCAATAAAAATCATAATATATTTTATAAATTAAAATATATATATAAAAAAATAATTAGGGGTGGCTGAAAATAAACGTAGATAAGTCAAAATTAATTAAATAATTAAAAAAATAATGCGTAGTTAGGCAGCAGACTTAACGGAGATTATCACATGGTCTTCACTGCATGCACCCATGTTCTAGTCACCAGTACTATCATGTTATTGCCTTAATTTTGCCCTTTACCATTCAAATTCAAACAACTAATACCTAAATTTAAAGCAAAGAATATTAAGTTTCAATGTTTTTTTTATATAGAAGTAGATAAAATCTTTTACTCTTGAATATTTATATATTTCTGCTGATTTTCTTAGGTTTTTGTTTACTGATGATATGAATTTATTACAATTTGATGTAAGACATTATTGCATAGAATATATTCTTTACTAGCTTAGCTCCCTCTTAGATACAAAGAATATCATTCTTGATACAATCGAGGTATGGAGAAAGATTGCGACGCTTGAAGTAAATACGACCTAATATTCCCTTTAACTAGGTACACCTTTGATCATTAATATTTTTTAATTTAATTACACAGTAGTACTAGATTATACAAAGTTTATGTACTGAATACATGTATGTATCATATTGTAACACATTATTTTTACAGCTTCATATATGCAAGTATTAGTACCTTTTTAAAACTTATATAAATCCAAAAAATCAGCTACATACGGAGTATGTAAGTATACTTCCTCCGTCCCAGCTAAATGTTGGACTTTTTTCAGTATTCATGTATAAGCTTTGATCATAATTTTTTACTAACATAATGTTGTTGGATAGATATTAATATAAAGTTTCATAACATACTTTTTAAAATAATTTTCATTAATATTTAATTATATAAAAATAAAGCCAAATTTGACATGTGTGTAATGTTGACTGTGTCGGATATATCATGAACAAAGGGAAATATATTTTATGGTTGTTGGCACTTTTCTTTTTTAATTGGAAACCTTACTCTCATAGTCTATTGATGCCTTTTAGATGCTTCCTAAGGTTTGGGATACTCTTACTATTTTAGTTTAAAGTTTAATTCTAGTTTCTACTCTCCGTTTTTGGAAAAATATACCTCGACTGCTTTCTTTGGGATGACTCCATATATTTATGCTTGGTTCTTTTCAGGAAATTATAAATTGAAGTATTACATGACTTTATTTACCTACTTTTTTCTTTTAAAATGTCACAGCTTTCCATTCATTAGTCTATACTAATAAGTACTTGTAATTTTAACTGTCTAAATGCATGTTCAACCTAAGGGTTTGAGAGAGTAACAAGCAGACGCGCGCGCACACAAACACACAATTTCTTCATCTTATAGTGAAGATAAAATTCAATGTTTAGACACTAAAGAATGATATTGTAACTTGTAAGTCTTTGTAATAATGGGTTTGTAATAAAACTTAATTTGATATACTGTACTATGAAAAGAATTTGACCATATATAATACGGAGTACATGAGTAATTTTAATAATTTCAAATTTAGTTTATAGTTTATATTAGAGTGGCTAATTAGTGTAGATCAATGAAGGTTCAAACATACAAGTATATACTTAGGTTTTTGCTTCTCAAATGATTATTCACTCCGTTATATCATCAATTCTCAATTATCTAATATTCCGAGGGTAATGCTTTACAAAAAAAAAAAAAAAAAAAAAAAAAAAAAAAAAAAAATCCAATGGTAAGAGGATTTTTTTTTTTTTCTTTTTGATTGGGGTTAGAGTTTAATCTATTTAACTTATTTTAATTTTTTGTTACACAAACTTATTTTAATTAATCTAAAATTGTCTTAAAATAGTTAAAATAAAGGGCCTGTTCTCATACGTTTATTTCAGTTCAGTTCAATTCAGCTCCTAATTTCCTTCTCTTATAAAATATTCATTTCAGTTCAATTCAGTTCAGTTGAGTTCAGTCAATAAGAATAAACCCTAAGACCCTGTTCTCTTTGGCTTAATTTAAGTTCAGTTCCGTTTAGCTCAACACAATTTAGTTCGGTTCCTAATTTTCTTATCTCATAAACAATTCAGTTTAGTTCATTACGAGTAAATCAGAATAGATCCTAATAACATGTAAAAGTGGGTTAAAAAAGAAAAAAAAATGTAAAAGTCATAAGTCACGACTTATAACATCTATAATGCATGAATATGATCGATCTTTAATGCACTTCGAATGAAACTAAATATGGTCGCTATCTCTCATTGTAGATGGGTTTCCATGCATGGAGGATTCTTCCACAATCATTGTAAACAGTCTCTGTTATTTACATACATTTTTTTTTTCAAACAATTATAAGTTTTATTGGCTTAACATGTGCTCTATTATGCTAATTAAGGAGTAAGGACCCACTTAAATTTTCTTTGTAGAATAAAAGTACGGTATTATTCTTCCCATTCTTAATCAAAACTTATAATACACGATAAATGTACATATGCAAATTGTCAGAATCAGAATACGGAGTACTACTCTACATTGATTGGGCTATTTAGAATCGGGTGGTAAAGTTTTCATCTATCTACTCTATACTTTATATCAAGCTTGTTTGGTGTAGTTGTTTAGGAATTCACCTTATAGCTTTAAGCTCATAAGACCGAATCCTCTAATTGTACATAGTTCTTTGGGGGGGGGGGGGAGGTGATAAGCTAATAATCCATTATCCTATCTTCTTGCTTTTAAGTTTCTAGACCACGAACAATATACCAAAAAAATCATGAGAGTTGTGGCTAAAGTGATTTTTTTATTTTTATTTTTAATTTTATTTTAAATTGTCATTATTGTTGGATCAGGTTTTTAAATTGTAATATATATTGTAAATTTACCACATTAAGTAAACATTATTGCCACTAATAAAATGCATAAAATTGGTTGAAGTCCATAGACTAAAACACCCATCAAAAGTAAAGCAACTTTGAATTAATTTAATAATACAAAAGTGAATGACCAAAGATTGATGGCATAAAGATACATAAAAACACGTGGGGTACGTAGCAAGTATATCCGTACAAATTATGACATAAATAGCGTATAAAATAAGGTATAGATACAAAGTATAAATACTTAGTACTCAATACATAACATGTGAGAGACATGAAAACGATGATAAAAGAGAGGAGGTTGTTGCTTTTATTAGAAAAAGATAAGGAGACAAATATTATCTCAATCAACCAAAAAACCACATCAATTCACTCGCTCTCTCTCACGTGCATTTCTCGTCTTCTTTAAGATACCTAACTACTCACTACACTCTATTCTCTCTTACTTCCCTTATTCCTTACCCCTTCTTTTTGGAGATTTTTTTTGGGGGGAGTATCAATTGTATTTACTTCTATTCATCTTATTTATAAACCCAAGAAAGTATTTGACTTTACGGTTTATGAACTTAATGATTTACGACACGACTGTACCATGCTAGCGATGCAACTCTTTCGTAACCCACATATCTTAGGGTTTTGACAATAAAAAAGAATGATGATGGGGTTGTTTGGCAATTGACGGTTGGCTTCTTTGCTTGACTTGTTTGACTAGTTGAAAATATTAGCGGTATGGGTTGGCTTTTTAAGTTATTTGCTTAAGCTAGTTGTTTACAAAAGAGTTTGGTAAAATTATTAATGGTTATTAGCTGTTTATTAGTGATAAAGTGGGTCAACAAGCCAAAAGCCAATAGAAAAAACTACTCTTATTAGCTTTTGGCTTTTGACGGAAAAGCCAACAAAAAAGCCAACCACCAAACATATTTTTTTACTGTTTAACCAAATTAAAAAGCCAAAAGCCAAAAGCCAAAAGCTAGGTAAAAAACTAATTACCTTAGTTTTCTAATTCGCCGCGCTATACTTTGTACGTACTCCGTAATAAACATGTCCATGGAGAATTGGCAAAGCTTGCTAACAAGAGCACAAATACCAATGGTAACTAATTGTTGTTAGTTACACTAGACATTATAAAAACTAATGGTTTAAAATGTTTCTATGAAAACATTTTGATAGAATATAAGCTTGGTTTTCCTAACTTGTGAAAAGTACATGTCAACTTGCTAACTACTTCGTAAGTTCGTAGTGACTAAATTATGATTTATTTAACTCAGTCAGCTGATGAGCCTTGTTGAGCCTCTTAGTCGTGCGAAAATGGGCCAGATCGTGCTACCCTCTAAATTAATAACCAACTTATTGGGCCACACAACCAATAACCAAACCAACTCGTGCTACCCTCTACACCATGAAATGGTCCAACTTTCTGAATATAATTTTGCTAAACATCAATTACTTTGGGAAATAGATTAATCCTTATTTGTACTATGTTGTTGAAAAAAAAAAAATTGCTTTGTACTCCGTTATAAGATTACAAGCACTCGACAAAATCTACATCACACCTAAACGTACCTAAAGATAGTACACAAGCCAATGTGAAACTGAACATAAAGGGTAAGCGACGCATTCGCCTTACTGCGGACAGTCACACAGAGGCTCTTGTTGTGCACTAATGACCAGTCACCATCGGTAAATGCAAGTGTATGACAGATTGACAGGTGCAGAAATCTCAAGTAAGTGCTAAGGAGTAGTATTTGTTGTACCAAAAAATCAGTTCAGTTACAAGACTGTCTAATCAGGAAGGTAGAACTAGTTTATGAAAACTGAAAACTTCAAAAAAACAAATTTATGAACAGGGAAATGGAGCATTCCTACAAACAATTAAGAATGCAATTTGACTAAATTGCTTATTATCCAGCAAAAGTGCCAGAGTCAAAAGACTGAATCACAAATATTTTACTTCCACATGAATATTTCATTTGGAAGTAAAATTAAATGGCTGAGAAGAAGTTTTATTGATTAAAAAAATCACTCAACAGCTTTTCATCTGTTATGATGAAACAAAATTTGTCTGAGCAATAAACTTCATATCCACAACTTATAATAACATTAAAGCATGGCAGAGTTTCATACAGAACTTGTCAGATCAAGCTTCGCAATGGTGAGGAGAAATGTGAAGGGCCATGCAACAACTTGTTGAAGTATGCTCTAGTTCCAAACTATGATCCGTTCTCATCGAGGCACACTAAGACCAAGCTCTGCATACAATGACAATCATCAGAAAATAAGCATTTTTGAAGTTTTGGAGGTTTGATTAATTACTTGAAAAGGCATTTACATAAAAGAAAGGGATGAAAATACTTTCAACAATGGCATCTTAATCAACAAAATAAGCAACTAATTTTCATGTCTCCAGCACAATGTGTTCACACTTCACAAGCCAACAAGGAGTAAAAATTTCAACAGCAAAGCCGAAAAATGAAACTATTAAATGCATCGAATTTAATAAGCAGCTCAAGCCAGAAGCGACCAAGTTTCATAGTAGCACAAGAACAAAATATTAAGCAAGATACATTCAGTAAGCTTCTTTCAAAGAATGCAAATAAGTATTATGTTACAACATGAAATATCACAAGGTAATGGAAAAGCATAGTCTAGCCCTTTAAGACCCCAAATATGCGTAAAATCCTAGCACCAAAGACTGCACTATGAAAAAAAAGAAAAAGTGAAATAAAGCCAGTTAAGGTGTTGTTTGCTAGGTTCAATACAGTGCCTCAATCCCTCAATAATAGAGTCAATCTAAGGTGTGGTATGCTAGGTTCGCCCTTAGGTCAAGGGATCACTACAGGGACATTACTAATGAAGTTTGACAACAATTATTCCCCTTAGGAAAAATTGACTGAAACACAAGCAAGCTGGACAACCAATTCTACGCATTTAGAAGAATTTATGTCTATACCTATAATCTATCAGGGTTATCAAGAATCTAATGTAGACAATAGAGCTCAAATGCAATCTGAGAAACATATAGGTACAGAACTACATTCAGGGGCGTTTGGCTTAGGGTTTTTAATCACAATGGCTCATTACCTTACCTTTGGTAGGACAATTTAATCACTCCCTTTACCCTCGTCATTCCCCCAAAGTCTTTTTACCCACCTCTCCCTCTCTCCACAAGGGTTGAATGTTCCCTTTCCTCAAGCCTCCTACACTACCAGTCAACACTACCACAACTCCAACCATTACCATCCTATAACCAAACCCACCACCACTTATCTATAATAAATCCTCCACCACCACCATAAACCCTAACCAATCCTCACCCACCCAAAAGCCACCCTAAAACCACCACACACACACACACACACACCGGAAATCAACCCCCACCCAACCTGAAATTAGCTCCAGCAACTTGAAAAATCACTTCACCACCCTGAAAACCAACCTATTCATCCCCATAAACAGCCCTAATTATCGGAAGATTACTGAACTGTCCAAAAAATTCACCAAGCAACCAGATCTAGAAGATTTTTCAAAAACACCACTTGTTATCCTTTACATCATTAGAACTCACTTCAATCAATCAATCAATTCAAAGCCTTAATCCCATAAGTAGGGTCAGCAACATGAGCCAAAAACTATTAATCCGTATAATCATCCACAAAAATCTTCCAATGAGCACTCACTTCGCGAACTGAAATATATATGCTCCAACAATGCTTTATTTTCTTTGGTCCGCAAGTTCTCTTTATTTCAAATTTTTTGATCCGACAAGAAATTCAATCAAGATTAATGCAATGCATAAAATTTGCTCAAGGATTTCACTCAACAAGATTTATTTGACAAATATATTAGTTGCTTCTAAACTATTAAAATCTTCTCAACCTTATTGAAATTTCTTCTACTATATTGTTTCCAGTTTAGCTTTGATTGATTCCACTTTAGAAAAACTTGATAATGCAACTATGCTCACTTCAACTGAAATGAGGTGTTCAAACATGATAACTCTAAGGTCTAGTCTGAATATTTTTGGCCTGGTGTTTTCTGTTTTTAGCGTTTGTAAAATAATATATATATATATATATATATATATATATATATATATATATATATATAAATAAATATACATTATTAAATGGGGTCTTGTTAGATTCATCTTAATGTGTATTTTACAAATATCTAACTTTCATAAATTTTGTTTATACAAACATACGATATGTCGATATCAATATGGTCTAGAACTTTCCGGTTAGTGTGGTTGTAATTAGAATGAGTAACAGGTACTTGAAATAAGGTGAATAGGATATAGCCTCAATACTCCCTTTGTCACATCTTAGGATCAAGTTCAGAGCTATATAATCAAGAAAATATAAACCAAGACTTTTAGTGGCTATCATATTCAAAGCCTAGAGGTTTGAAAGAAGCAATGTCTAGCAAGCAGGTACTGTTGTTCAAGTTTCATAAAACTGTAAAAACTGGACATAAGATATGGCATTCAGTCTATCTTTCAAATCCACACATTATTCTCACTTGGGACATGAGACACTTAGAGGTAATAAGGAGAATTGGCTAAACTAAAGCATCAAGATATGTCTCAGTAAATTTTTCCCTTTGTCACCACCCTTGCGTTGACTTGTGAGCTATAAAACCTGTATCTAATCCAACAGCCAATTTAAGTTGGGTACATAGTATCCTTAGTCAAAACTCAAAACTCGTGAATGACTACTAACACTTCATCTAAAACTTCCAATATGCCAAAAAAGTATCCTTTCTGGCTACTGCCTTCCCTAATTCCTTCATATTTCCGTGTTACACTCCACCAACCACAATTATCCCCCTTACCTCATCTTTTAACAAGATGCATTACTAATTGACAAGTAACATAACAGAAAATTTCAGTCCATTATATTCAATGTAACGTTGCTATCAATTATAAACATGCCCTATCTGCTCAGGAAAGTCTTAAATTGTTACCCCACACACAAGAGGAAGTCTCTTTCACTTCAAAGGACATTATCAAGTTACAAAGAACCTAAGATATTGAAACAAAATCTTAAAGATCATAAAATTAATGCACAGATGATGATAACACAACAAACTAACAATAAATTCAGCAATTTCTATTTTTATAATACAATGCAAATTGATTAATGAAACACAGAAAGAACTTAAACATGGCAAAGATCAAGTTGCTTACAAGATGAATTGAAAAAAACAGATAATTTTTTGGAGAGAGAATATATCTATCAAACTCCTGGGTTGGCACTGCAGATCATACCCTGAGACAACGATCTAGAACTGCTTGAATCTATGCCAAGACATGATGTGAGTCGAGCTGATGACACTGCTGAGTGAAGTGGGAGAAGAGATTGCATTGCACCCATTTGAGATAATACCCTGAAAATTCAAAATCAAATGTCAAATTACACAATTTCTGCGAAAAAATTCGAACTTGATAGAAATTTGAAAGGGGGTTTTCTTGATTTGAGAGGAAATTACCTGGGAAATGAAGGGGATGAGAGAGAAGCACGGACAGAGGGGATGGAATTTGAAGTGGGTTTTTGGGCAAAAGTAGTTTTGAGAAGATTGATTGTTGGTCTTGAGAGGGATCGAAAACGGGAAGCCATTGGAGAGAAGGGAGAAGGTGGAATAAGGGTTGATGATGATTTTTAGGGTTTATGTTCTATCGCAAATTGAGTGAGGGTTTATCAATAGTACACTTTTGTTGGGAAAAAAAAATATTGTATCTTTATTGTATTTTTATTTTCTTTCATACTGTATGTTTTTTTTAATACGAAAGAATAAAAATTTACGTATTAAGCAAAAAACACGGTTAAAGGTGAGTGTGTGAATACTGATAAAGTTAAAACGTGTCAACTAAAAAAACGGAGTTAGTATTTCTCAGTCATCTAAGTATAAACCTATTATATGTATATCGAGTATAGACCTAAAATATTGAGACGTTGTAAATGTTATCTCTGAGATTTTCTACTACAACGCAATCTCTTACTTGAGTTACATTATTGTTCTCTTCAACAGACTACTTCGGTTTTTTTTTTTTCTTTTTTTTCTGTGATAATGCAATTTATATTAAAACTCATAGAGACACATGCACGCCATGTGTCGTCGAAGGTATGTAATTGTGCCATGTGACGCCGTTACTTGGCATAAAATGTGGCTCCATCTATCTATCAATTAACCTATACTAAAAGCGAACCTAAAGTGACACTTGTCACGATATTATAAAAAAATTTCCCGCCTTTTTATCTTTCCTTTTTTTTTTTAATTTTTTTTGCCAAATTTTAATGACTTCCATTTTATAATCTACCATAATACTTATTTCCATTTTGATAACACATTTAATCCAATCATACTCAATTTAATTTTTTATTATTATTATTTTTCAACATATATTTTATATACTATAAATCTTTTAGTTACAAATATACTAACATAGTTTAAAATTAAGGTATTGACATATATCATCATCCCAGATTATCATAATATTATTATAATTTTTTTTCCTCCGACTTAAAATTTATTTTAATTAAAAATAGGAATAATAATTTTGGTAGGATACTTTGTATAAATCTTACAAATATACATAATGTTTATAAGAACAACTGAACAAAATCATTTATTATATTATGCTCCTCCGTTTTTTTATAAGTTATGGTTGAATTTGCACTTTTGTTGAGACACAACTTTGACCATCAATATCTTTAATTAGAGACTATTATTTTGTTACAAATATTTTTCTTTTGGATAAATTTGTTGAATTAACACCATTCTTTATAAATTTTGTTGTAAAATTTAATTATGACCGTGCATGGCACGGGATTTAACCTAGTAACTAATACTAAAGTAGCAACCGCTTACATCATCCTTTCCTAAAACTAGAAACATGTCAGATCGTCATTAAAAAATTTCCCTCCAAAACTATAAATGATGTCATCATGATTTTTTATTTGATTTAATTAAAATTCTGATCAGCTATTTTATTATTAGTATCAATTTTCGAAAATAGTCTATCCATCTAATAATAATAATTTAATTTTTCTTCCTCACGTAGCCCTTTTATTTTTCAATTTTTATGTGAACTCTAAATTTTATTTTTAATATTTAGTACATTATTTATTTCGGGTTTTTTTTTTGTTTTTAATTTTGGTATGAAAAAATAAACAAATTTTTTAAAAATTTATTTGTTCTAATCGTGCATCGTACGAGACTAATCTAGTGTAATAATAATATTAATGATCATCATTAATTGTGCCACGTGACGTCATTACTTGGCATAAGATGTGGCGCCATGCAATAATACCATTAATGATCGTCATTATTTCCTCAAACAAATTTTTTTGTTAGCATTGATATTTGAACTTATCACCAAATCTATTACTCCCCCTGTCCCTTATTTACATTCCTTCAATCCTTCTTCCTTTTAAGGTATTTCGAAATTACATTCCTACTTTCCTTTTTTACTACTCGTATATCGTTATGATTCAACTTTTACCACCTTTCCAATAGTTAATCATGTTCATAAATTTCAAACTTTAATAATATATATAGATTTTAGGGTTTTTTGACATTTGCTACCACCTAAAACGCCTTGCTTCAGATTTGCTACCGTTTTAAATTTTTTTTTTTTACTTTGCTACCATCTAAATTAGAGTTTGTTAGGAATCACTACCCCATGCCTTATACCGTTACCATTTCCGTTATGAGATCCAACCACCGTCCAACCACCTTCCAACCACCTCACTGCCACCTTCCTATCCCCCATCAATGTTGCCCCTCCCCCCTCTGGTGGCTGACGCCGGCAAACTCTTCGCCTTCCCTTTTCCCCTCCTTCCAGCCACCTTCCCTCGCAACCACCCTCACTTACAACCACCAATTCGCACCTTCACCACACGCATTTCGTAGAGCTTCAATTCACAAACCCCCAATTCGCCACCACAACCACCACCGCCACCAATTTCGCAGACCCCTACTTCGCAGCCACCAATTCGCTGAAGCCCGCAACACCACCACAACCCCCAATTTCGCAGAGCTTCAATTCACAAACCCCCAATTCGCAAACCCTAAAAGTCGTTTGGGTGGTTTCGAGCTGGTAGCTAAGGGTTAGGGGTGTCGGTTTTTGGGTGGGGGAAGGGGAGGGGTTCGATTCCGGTGGGGTAACGGGAAGGAGGGCTGATTTCGGTGGGGGTTGGCTTCGTGGGTGGTGGGGCTTCGTGGGTGAGGGATAGGGAGGGGGTTGGCTTCGTGGGTGGTGGGCCTTCGTGGGTGAGGTCGCCGGCGCCGGGTGAATCTTTATGCGCCGACCGCCGACCGCCGACATGAGGGAGGGGTGGCAGTGGGTGGCTGGGTTTCTTTTCTTCTTCTTTTTTTTTTTTTTAAATTTTTCTTTATTTTTTTTAATAAACTTAACGGAAATCCTAACGGATTCCGTTAAGTGGTAGTGATTTCTAACAAACTCTAATTTAGATGGTAGCAAAGTAATTTTTTTTTTTTAAAAAACGGTAGCAAATTTGAAGTGAGGCATTTTAGGTGGTAGCAAATGTCAAAAAATCCTAGATTTTATGCATGTATATTTAACAACAACATATGGAGTATAATCTGATAACATAATTAATCTCATCTCTTACATTTGCTCAAACATACAACCCTATAAGTCTACAACTATTTAAGGTTTGTTATCATTGACTGAATTGAGCTGAAATGAACTGAATATTTTATGAGAGTAGGATAATAGGAACGGAACTGAACTGAACTGAAACTAATATGATGAGAACATACCCTTAGATATGTAACCCAAAATGTATAGTACTTTTCATGCTAATTGTTTTTTTTTTTCCAAAAACATTTTCATTTTAGGGGAATTCTTAGAACAATTGGAGAACATTGGATTCTCACTATCAATCAATATATCAATATATATTATTAAAACTCATGGCAAGACATGCTATTTTGCCATGTGTCACCAATTTCGCCATTTGGCATATGATGTATCACCAAATCATATAAGACCATTAATAATTGAAAAAATTCATACATTAACCTCCATGTATTAATGTTTAATTTAATTGATAACCTCTTCATATGCATAACTCCATATATATATAAATTTCCCTTGGAATGTAACTCCAATCCTTAATAATTACACAATAATAAAGTTTGTAAGATATTTAACATTACTCCATTTTTATTTTGTGCATTTAATTCATAAAATTGTAGTTATAGAGTAAAAGATTTTTGTGCATTATAGAGTATTATATATTTGTGACATCAAATTTATAGAGATTTTATTTTAATGCATTAAAAAAGTTTTTTTTTTAAAAGACAAACCGTTAATTTTTATAATGAAACCAGCTCATACAAACAACACACTACTTAAGCTATCATCTTGAAAAAAAAACGCCACTTAAGCTCTCACTAACAAACAAACTTCGATTAAAGTAATATATTTATAATGACGCGGGGCATCGCTTGGGCCAATAACTAGTTAGACAATAAAATTTGATGTTCAATAATTTTTTGAAAAAAAAAAAATAATACAAGTGCTTTTATGTATATTAAAAAAACAGTAATTGCTTAAAATATTAACTAATCTGTAATTATATTTCACGTAAATTAATCATATTAAAATTTAGTTTCAATATACATATTATTATCCGAGGCATCGCCCGGGTTAAAAACTAGTTTCAACATTAAACCACCAAAAAAAATGTAGACATAGATTTTCATCTTGTTCTAGAAAAAGGTTACATTAGGTTAAATCTGAGTCCTGTATATTTTACAACTGTATAAATTTGAAATTTTTTACTAAATCTAATCTTAGATATCAATTTGAATTTGATAAGATAAATATTTGACTTAACTTTTGAAACTACAGCATTTTTGAGTTTTGACTAAACTCAAAACCCCAACACTGAGCTCGAGTCACTCCTATATTCCCACACTTGTGTGTCTACTCCGTTTTCACGCTACCTGTTGCTGCTCACCCTGCTTCACCGCGGCGGCGCACCGGCGCTTCACCACCATCAATCGTCGACCGCCGCACCCCGCCACCACCTTTTGCTTTTATCTCTTAATTCATTCTCCCCAGTAAGCCTATATCACTAATTTGCTTAATAATTTATTTTTTTCCTCAAATTTTTAGCTTTTTTTTATTTACGAGTATTATTTATGTTTTTGTTTATTGATGGTTTTTGTTATAACTTCAATGCGCCAGTTATTTTTTTTGATAAGAATTTAAATTTCATGTTGCTGTATTCTAAGGGCCTGTTTATTTATATAGGTTATTATATTTCTGATTAATCATACTAATTTTGATGGGGTTTTTATTCAACGATTATATGAAATGTATTTGCGTTGATTGAGAGTACATTTTTACTTTTGCTAGTTGCGTTAATTTGTTTGTTGATTGATAAAATTGTGAATGAAGATTCTAATTAATTATAATGCATTTCAGCATTTGTAATTGTTAGTATGGTTAATCAACTACAAGTATTAGATGGTTGATGGTACCATTAGTTTAGACATTTCTTGAGAGACAAATTTATTTATTTATTTTTTTTTCATTTAGAGATGATATACTAGAATGTTTTCAAAATTAGAAAAAATTTGTTGCATGCTTTTGTGAATTCATAATTTTTATGCGTCCAATAGTGTTAATTACCTTGATATTGGTTGTAATTTTGTTTTTGAGTTTATGTATTAGATGTTATAATTAATTTTATTTGGTCTTTTTATTGGAACAACTCCGAACTCATGTACCATCCGCCTATACGACACTAAGAT